TATTATCCCCTCCCCTGTTTTATTGTGAGCCACCCGGAGTCCTTCGGGAGTGGGCGGCATACAAAACCAATAAACGAAATGAAACGAAACTCCTTCCTGGCAGCTGGGGATTCCCTTCCTCCAGCACTACCAACACCCCTGTTTCTTGCCTGCTGGGCTGAAGCCTCCCCTCCCCCTGGGATCACAAGAGCAGCTCAGCCATGTCCAGCCTGGCCCTGTCTGGCTCACCCTGGCTGGCTGGCTTCAGCTTCAAGGCCAGCTGCACCTGAGCACAAACCCAGGCTGCCTCCCAGTTCCCATTGATTATGCATGCAGAAGCGGTAATTCCCGGCTTCCCATTATTGGAGGCCCTGCTCGCCCCTTGTGGATTGGCCGGCTGCATAATGGCCTCTGCCTCATTTACTGGGGGTGGGGGAAATGCTCCACTGCAACCGAGGGGCAGTCAAAGAGAGACCCCGGCTGGCTGGTAATTCAGGGGATGTTTATGACCGACGCTACTGCAGCAGAGGCCCCAGGGGCAGCGGGTGTGTGTGCTCAGACAGCTCCTGCCCCATCTTGTGGGAAGGGGTCTGCTCCAGCAAAACAGCCACGCCTGTGGACGCCCACCAGGGTGACAGTTCAGGCGCTGATGGAGACAGAATGCTATTTAGATAAGTTTATACATTTAATCAGATTTTTCACTGTTTTCAGCAAGATGTGGACTCCATCCCTGTCTGCGGCATTTGGTTCGCCTCAGCTGAGACAGAGAATAATCAAGATTTATGACGCTCATTCCAGCCCTGGATCCCACTCAGTTGCCTGGAACAGCTTGGCTTCCCTCTCGGCATCCATCGGACCGGCTCTGCTCCGTGCTTAGAGACTGAAGGCCCATCCCACAGCCTGCCAGAGGCATCTTTCTTCTGCTAATGGCACCATCGGGCTTCCCCCTCGCTCTGCCAGCTCAAACAGGCAGCTGTGCCCACCCATGGTTGGTCTCCGCAGTACCTGCCCACCAAGAATGCTATGCCAGGGAGGCTGACGGGGTGACACCCTCCCACAGGCAAGCAGAATCTCTTGGAGATGGATCCTGCCAACCAGCCTCCCGGATTTTCTTCCGAGCAGGCAAGCGCGACTGAAATCCATCTGCTGCCAAGCAAATGTCACTCTGCCATCC